TGTCTTCAGTATTTCCTCACAAGAGTCAACTTGTTCACCATTTTAAATATATCATTTTAGGTATCTGTTTGGATTGCACAGGCCATAAAGATCCAAACCACAATGACATCGTTGTGAGATATCAGCGTATAATTTAATGCCTCTACAGACACCACGACAGAGTAACTTTCACATTAGTGCTGGTTATCGCTCATAATATGCAGATTGATCATTTGAGCTCAGTAATCTATCAATAAACCCCACCATAAACTTCATGTGGCAATAACGGGACACAACATTATGCAAATGAAACTGTCACTGATGAATATCATGATGATGGAGGCTACTTCCTGTTGAGACACGCACATGAGTATATTGTTTACATTTCTGTTTTACGAGTCAGGTAACTGCATCAGTTGTTTATGCCTTGATTTAACAAAGTCTCCTGAGCTCATAGATGATCACTGACATAAGCGAGATTGAACGACTATTTGATCAATTACTCTAAAACAGACAAACATATCTGGCAAATTACTGGTGACAAACTGATGACCTTTTCTGTAGTGCAGATAAATCATTGTGAGTTTTTAAAGAAAGGTGATTATTTGCAATGGTAATCTTCATAGTATATGTTTGGTTCAGTATGTCCCGTTATACAATAATGATGTGAATGAAAAGTCCAAAGATAATCTAAGTTATATCATTCTAAACACACAGACACATGAACACGCACACACATTTTTGAAACAACAATTAATACAATAAACCACTACATGGTAATGCATTTACCTGCAACACCAGATTTACTACTAATCACATATTTGTTTTGAATGCCATAATCAAGATAATCCTTGCCAAAACAGAATTAATCCTAGAAAAAACATTGTTGAAATTACTAGTTCAACACATCATGATGGGTGGGGTGAGTATTTACCTCTTATATTGCCTTCTTGAGTCATACTGAACCATTTTGTTTTGGTGGAGCAAGGCAAGAGATCTAGGAACACGGAAATACATAAATGGCTGTTTTAGTACTTTTATTTTTTGCTGTGTTCAGCATGGCTTCATGGTATCTATTTCTCAATGATAAAGCTAAACTGAGCATGTGTACTGTAACAATGTATAATATAGAGATAACAGGTCCTCTGCAATAATATGTTAAGCTAGCAACTTAAAAAAACATTAAAGAACCACTAAACTTTGTTTTTTGTTCTTATGCGGAACACCAAATTTATTCTTTAAAAACTTGTGGTTAATTAATACCGAGCGATTAAAAGTGGCCAAAAAGTCGCCTGCTTCCCTCTCGCCCGCCAACGAAACCACAGACAGGTTTGTCGCCAGAGCACTGCAGTGACGTCATATGAGGAACAATTTTCAGTTAGTTGTATAGAAAATGTGTAGCACGCTCATCATTTTGATGATTTCTCCTAGGGGTCGGGCGATGGTGTCCCCATGCACAGATTTCCACAGGACCCCGCAGTTCGTGCTAAATGGGTTATGTTTGTGAGTGCGAAGTGAGCGTTGTGGAAGCCTGAAACGATATCTTACTTGTGTTCAGATCGCTTCACGGAAGTTAAAGAATCAAAACTACTTACTAGTTGTAGTAAAATAGACTGGCGGATGTTCCCGACAGGGCGCCGCCATTTTTAAAAATTAAAAAAATCTGTTAGAATTAATGAGATTATAGTTTGTTTTCATCAAGTTAGAAAATCAAGACTACTTTCTACTCGTTGTTAAATATGTATTCAGAGCTCCAGATAAGATTTAGCTCCAGTGGGTACTGTACCCACTGTACTTTTTTGGAGTGGGTATTATGAATGTTGAGTGGGTATTTCATTTTCCGTTACCCACTGCTTTCAAATATGTGCGTATTTCAGTCATTTTACTCACCTAAGTATTATGTCATTGAGTAAGTTTGCTAAGCAGGTATGTTCTGCCTTATGTCATACCTAATCAAAACCAACTTAAATATAATGGAAAGGATTTCATAAAAAATCACTCGTCCTATACTGACAGTACAACACTTGTCCTATACTTTTTATAAATATATTCCGTACGCATTTGTTTTAAACTTTTTGCGTATCTAACATTTTAAATGCGTAATTGGTACGTAAGAATTATTTTTCAATGCGTAATTGGAAATTTTCTATGCATATTTTACCCGGATACGAAGCTTATCTGGGCCTCTGTGTATTGGAATCATAACCAAACGGATTTTGCATGACACAACTTATAACATAACGATTTCTTCCACGGAAGCGAGGTGGGGGTCGAAGTCACAATACTGCGCGATAAATTTCTTGCTACATTCCCATGGTTAATGTCCACTCACCTGTATGTAGATACTAGTCAATGTGCGTCTTTATATTTGGTCTTATAATCCTAATTAGTTTATTATCACACTTGTATGCATTTTGAAACTAAATAAAAAGCAGACGATCTGCTGATACTTATAGTGAATTTATAACAGAACTGTAATATCTAGACATTTTATAGTTTGCCAATGTGAATCATAATTCGCACACACACCCTAGTGCATGTTGTCTGTCTCATTACACTTCACGGCGAAAACAATGATTCTGTTGAATGCTACGACAAATGAATAAAACAAAATGCAAATATTAAAATTAAAACAGATTAAAGTTATAGGAACAATATCAGGCCATTACCTTGTTCGAGGAATGTATCCATCAATATCCACAAAACTGTTCAAAATGATGTGTCTTTTAACAGTTTAATATATGAAAAAGTGATAAATCTTTTCAGGTATTGGTGTATAGTCTCAATGGTCACCCAAGATAGCACACCTGGCAACTAATTGCATAATGTCCGCCTTTCTTTAAAAACAGTAATTTAGTTAGCCAATAATGGGCAATCAATCAATGTATTGCCGGTTAATCCTTTGAAAGAAGGACGTTGTTTTTACGCAGACACCGACCACGACAGAGTGTATTCAGTATAGATTAGTAAATCTACATACATAAACACTACCTTTTGACAATTCCGCTGTGTAAGATAAAAGTAATTAATCAATCAGCGTGTTATCGGTTAATCCTTTGATCGATGTTTATAATGTTGAATATTTACTCCAGACACAAGAAATGCCAAATGGGAACCTTTGTCGGGTAATCTAAGTGTGTTACTACTAATTATACCTGTTATAAATTCATTAACTGACCATCAAGTGAATGATGACAAATAACATGTGTAGGTTTATACCACCTAACACGGGTTACAACGAGGGAGTATTAATTGCTGTATTGCATGTGAAAACTTATGGGCCGACACTGTTTTGAGAATACAAACAGATTTTTACGTGACATGATTAAATATCGAGGTAAAACAACACAGAAATGGGATCAATTTGGATCAGTCATTATACAAATAGGGCCTAACGACACCAATCGATTTTGACAGAATCGTCTATGAAAACAAGTTGTAACTCGGAAACTAGGCAAAGCAGGAGACAAAATTAAATGACAGTAGATTTTGAGAACATATAGCTTTCATTTTCCTCAACAATTATCACGATTTCAGGTTCATACAAGCCTGTAAACACGATAATTTACCCCCTAAAATGTAGATGAATTCTGCATCGGCTCTCAAAGCTATTCCTCATATGACGTCACAGAGGCGCGCAGCTCTGATTGGTTGAAATTTCGTTCGCGGGTGAGAATTGTGCACTGTTGTCAAAAAGGTCGATTTAAGTCAATTAAAGGTCGAAATGAGTAGTTTTAATGATGGGGTTTCATTTATAACGATGCCAGTTAGTGATTTATGTATTTGTACCCCCTAGGGTTTATGTGACCTTTAACAGTAATAAAGAGTACACAAACAAATACTCATCTTAGACCAAGAATATGTAACAAATATTACATGTTAATATTACATAAATGTTTCAAAAATTGGTTTGTCTGGTAAAAATGTTAATGAGGAGAAGCATATTGAACAGAATGTCTTGGAAGAGTAAACGTGATATCTATTAAAGTCGTATAATACTGGAAAATCTTCAGAGCTTGATGGCAAACCTGTCTAAAACATTTGCTCCATTTGAATTCACCCAAACAATCTGTGTTAGCAAATTATTGACCCAAAATAATTCCACATAATCTGTCTAAATAATGATTTTTCTTGACTAAAATTAAGTGGCATCTATTAATTTGTTATCCACATTTTTATTATGTTCAAAACAACGAGTGAGGACAACCAATATAAAAGAACCTAATTGTCACCTGAACAGGTCACTGCATACAATTTCAGTACATTTGAACTTGCAAAGCAAATTTTTTTAGCGCTAAATACAGATCTACAAGTATGCATGCTGCAGAAAGATGATGATATGTACGTATTTGTCAGCTATTTCAAATTACTATGTTTACCTTTGTATTTTTTATTTGAACAACAAAGCACACTCACTCCATCATTCCTGGGGCCCCAGGCTGGGGTCTGAACGGATACTGAAGACGGGCCATGCTGGTTTAACCTTACATCCAACAATAACAGCATATAGATGAAAAAGATAAAACTTTATAAAGACTCCATACTGGTGTTGAAGTGCGCGTGACGACACTAGGAAACTGTTATTCACACGTGCAAAGAAGTTAAATCTCCCTGAAGTGAAAAGCCTAATTAACGCTCAAACAATGGATTGCCAGTGTCTGACGGAGAGAAAAAGCCGCCAGAACACCGCCTGACCCCGATAAACCTTAAATTATGCTGCCACGGCCAAAACAACATGCCTCCTGCAACCTCCATCTAAATATACAAACATCTCCGATCGAGTTGTCAATCCTCTGATCGATTGATTGACATGAGCATAAATGTCAGTGTGTTGCCGCGCTGAGCTATCAACATCATCCACCTTCTGTTTACATTCCGCGTATTATCAAAATATAAGTGAGTAACAACAATCGAATGATTGCTCTCAGATGCGCCTGAAGCTAAAACTTAAGCTCGCTTAAGATGAACTGTTAAATTCACTTCGATTAGTTAGGTGCAGTGAAAATGTAATATCGCTTTACCTCATAAACGTGACCCTCCGCCATTTCAGAAAGTATGAATGATCGATTTCGGTTTTGGACTGGGTTCGAGGTTATTTCGCCGGGGAGCATTCATTGTCTTCATTTTCAACGTCGTCGTTGATAGACCACCTGTCGGAGGACATGCTTCACTGGGCACGGTTTTTATGTGGGGATGCAGTTTGTTTTAAAGAAAGGGCCACGAGGGGAAACACGCGCTACATATAGCGGATGATGATCTTTCTGGAAAAAAAACATAAAAGGTTTGTCCCTTCATTCAACGCACGAAATAAACTGATTATTACCAGGGGAAACTGTTAGCCTGTCGAGTTGTGTTAGCTACTCCACTGTACCTTTAAGTTAATTACACAATGGAAGATAAATAGAAACAGGATCGCACGTGAGCCATAAAATGAGCGTTATGTGAGGAACCCAAACACAGAGTTATTTAGATTTCAACGCAAAGTAATTGGCGCTGATCTGGAACAGCTGGAGAGCACACGTGCTGTAATAAGCGATATTCCTGGAAAACGTAAAAAACCCCAACAAAATTAACAATAACAACAACAATAACAGCAGCAGCAACAACGACGATGATGATTCGGTGATATCATTTTGTACGACCACTAAATGTAGTTATGTTTCTAAAGCATATGTTACATGCTTTTGTTCGTGCAATGACAATTAATTGCGTCTAAATATATAGAGAAAACAAGTGCAATGAATATAGATTTTCCATGAAAATATATATTTTTTACAATTTCGATAATGAATACATTGAAATTGTTTACAAATATATATATCTTCGTACCTTCACTATTAATTAAATAACCCCAAATAAGCCTGTGTTTGAGGGATTCACCAAGGTGGTAAACGTGCCTCCCTCATTTGTGAGTGAGTTTAGTTTTACGCCGTACTCAGCAATATTCATGACGGGGCCGTTTGTAAATAATCGAGCCTGGACTATACAATCCAGTGATCAACGCTATGAGCATATCGGTCTATGCAAATGGGAAGCGATGACATTTTTCAACCAGGTCAGCGAACCTGACCACCCGATCCCGTTAGTCGCCTCTTACGACATGCATGGTTACTGAACAGTCTAAGTAAACTTAGGCTCAGTATTATTCGTTACACTGCTGTACTTAGACTGGGTTACTGAAGATCAATTCTAACCCGAAATCTCCCTCATTAAGCTGACGCAAAGTGAACTATTGTCAAAAGGGGCGTTATAAGCCACTCGCGGATTCACTCACTCAGTCATATTCTGGGTCAGAAACCGTGAAGGTCCGGGTTAGAATATTGATCTTCAGTAACCCATGCTTGTCGTAAGTGGCGACTAACGGGATCGGGTGGTCAGACCTGGTTGACACATGTCATCGGTTCCCAATTGCGCAGATCGATGCTCATTCTGTTGATCACTGGATTGTCTGGTCGATTATTTACAGACCGCCGCCATATAGCTGGAATATTGCTGAGTGCGGCGTAAAACTAAACTCACTCACTCACTCTGGGTCAGAAGAGATCCCCTGCAACCCGTACAATGTTGCTTGCACAGGGCATATTTAGATGGTAATGGTGGCTGCTCATGATATCACTCACTGGTGTGTCATTTAACGTTATCAATTTGACTTGTGCAGTGTTCTTTCACAGTGAAAGAAACACTCAACCGGCTCACAATAAATGAACTGATAGGACTCGCTACTAGGTAACAGTTGTTATGGAGGACAGTAAGGATGCTCGATCTTCGAATTAAGAGAATTAGGTTTGGGAAGAAAAAGGTTCGAATTTCGCAAGTGGAAGTGGAACATAGCTGCTTATGAGCGAACATATGAATGGTTTCAGGCCTCCCACATTCACTGACAATTGCTAATGTTTTAGAATACGAAGACATGGATTTACTCTGACATTTTAGTGTACTGGTGATGTGTGTGACCTACCAGTGAGTGAGTGAGTATGGTGTCACGCCGCTTTTAGCAATATTCCAGCAATATCACGGCGGGGGACACCAGAATGGGCTTCACACATTGTACCCATGTGGGGAATCGAACCTGGGTCTTCGGCGTTACGAGCCAACGCTTTAACCACTAGGCTACCCAATCGCACCCTACCTGTTGTAACCGCGTGAACACATATAATAACAAACTGAATCATTCTGAAAACAAAAGACAACTTATTTGCAAGGCGTGAAACAATATGCAAAGTTTCAAAAATATTTATGAGTTTGTCACGATGGAAAGCAAATACCGCAGTGATTTGAGTTTCCTACATGTGTTAGCATGCCACAATGAAGTATTCAAAGGTTTCTGGGATCTGTTCCGGAAAACGAATCTGAAAGAGGCGGAAGGAGACTTTCTGAATTCACCAATCCCCACCTCGAGGAAAACTACTCGAATCCTCAATGTCAAAACAAACACGGAAATACTGGCAAAGTTTGCTCTGTTGTTTAGTTGAGGTTTGGTCTCTCGGGACTCTTAAATACTGAAATAACAAGGAAATGTTTTCGCAAATAACTAAATAGTGGTGCCTTATCAGTGTAATAATGCTGCAACATCAATTGATCTCACAGCTGATGGGACAGTACCTTTTGGCATTGGACATAAACACGGACGTCAGCTGAAAACGTTTATTTTTTATTATATTTTTCTTGCGCTAGCTTCTGAAATCATTTCCCACACATGTATTGAAGACAGCTGCATTTGTTGTTCGATACTTGTACAGTGAAGTGTGTGCTCCTGAAATCGATACATCGAAGAAGAGTCATATGGACTAACGTGCTGAAAATACGCTCATTTCTGTATATTCAGCCATTTTCAGATGAAGTGGTCGGAGTTACCTCCCCTGATCGTTAGCTGCTGGAACTTTCTTCTTTTGACGTCATAGAGTGATGGCGTCATTAAACTATGTCCTGAAATAAGTAGCTCGATAAACATATTGTATGACTTGTCCCTCACTTGCATTGTTTAAGGATGAGTTTTAAAGGAAAAGCACTTAATATCGGTATCATATTTCCTGACATTTTCCCAAGGATGATGCCATTGGGAGTCGACCATCTTCAAACACCATGGACACCATTGTGACGTCACGCTATTGTCGCTGCATAAGCATTTGCCGGCAAGACGTGCTTTTCAGAAGCAGACGAATTTCGTGAAATTCTACAGCTATTGTGCTCAAAATGGACCAAGAAGAGATTCGACTTGCACCGGAATGGTGTGGCCCCAAATGGTTCCAGAAACCAAAAGTAAGTAATTATGATATCAACTATCTGAATCATATTGCATTTACTTCTCTGGGTGAGACGAGTGAGTTCGTGAGTGGGCACAGTTGTCTCAGGGGCGGATACAGCTTTTTGAGTAAGGCGGGGTGCACACTGATGAGAAAAGGGGTGGGGTTGGGTGTTGCACACTTCATTTCACCCCATTTTCAATGGTCATTTAATAAACTTTCAGGACAAAAAAAAAGGGGGGGCGGGGGGCACTGTACTTTTGTAGTTGTATTTCGATATTCTGGACAAGACAAACCAGAATTAAAACTTCATTTGTTGATCACACTAGCGTCAGTCGCTTCTACGAAAAGAGAGATGCCGAGATGATTAACAGAGCTTGTTTATGTGTTTTTTGCTAAATGTGTTGTTAAGGTATGAAAGACACCATCTATTATTTACTTATCATTTCCCGATTTTCAAAGTCAGGGAACAGGCTACGCCAAAAGAGAAGGGGGTACTTGTAAAACTACATGAAATGAGGAACTTTTAGCTGATAAATACATGTATATTAAATATTAATTATTCACTGATTTAAGAGTTGAAATTTCACTTTTAGAGTTAAGGTTTCAGCTGCTAGGTCACATATAGCAATATTCTGTTTACGCTGACAGTAAATATATATTCTTTTCTATCCTAATATATTTCTTTTATTTCCAGGAGGAGAGACTAGCATTCCTTGGATTGCGGGTTTCGCCGGGGACGTCCACAGCTCTGGAGTCTGCGCCCAGCACTGACAGGACTCCAGCAGTGAATGAGAGGACTCGTGCTAGCACTGTGACGAGATTCAGAGAGATGGTGAAGTCTACAACAGCAGAATATGCCCTAGATGATACAGAGGGACCTCCATCAGCATCGATCCTCAACTCCAACGTGGGAAATCTCAACGGCGCCACTCATACAGAGGCAACATGGGGCACATCTGGGGACAGAGAATTGGGTGCATACGCATGTCTGAGCAAGAAAACAACATGCATTCAAGAACCAGGGGCGCACGCAACAACATCCAAGTGGACAGAGATGGCAATGCTCCTGCAGGACACTGACATGGACGGACAACAACATCTTGTGCAGTTTTGTCAGTCTCCCCAGTCAAGCCCAAGACAGCAGCCTCGTTGTCGCTGGACCAAAATGGTCACGGACCTATTGGATACCGACACCAGCCTTTCTTTGACCAAGGAGGATGTTCTTGGTGATGGTTTTGAGGAGCGGGGTTCCTGTGATTCTTTCCTTCCATCTGAAATCTTCTTTAAATCTCTTTTCGGCTCTGACTTTGAAATTCCAGTCCTCTATAAATTAATCAACCCACCAATAATTCCAAGTTCAGTGGTCAGGAACGATACACTGAAGTGTGGCGTGTTACCCGTTGTTCTGGGAAGAGGTTCATTTGGTCGTGTCATTAGGGCCAAACTCACCGCCAGCCATGGAGACATCCAGAACATTGTGGTGAAAGAAATCTTTGACTGTAAAAATCGGGTCGATGCCATCTTAGATGAAGCCAGAATACTGCTGTACCTTTCAAGGACTGGTTACGTCCCTTCATGTTTTGGGGTAGTGAGTAATGGCGGCGTAGGGGGAGCCTTTGGTATTCTGATGGAGTGTGTTGGGGACGGTCTGACCCTGGAGAGGTACCTGTGGGACAGGAAAGGCAGACTGGCACCCATATGTCTACTTCAAATTGCCAGACAACTTGCTGAGGGACTTCGAGAGATGCACAATATGGGTGTGCTCCTCAACGATATCAAGGCCAACAATGTTCTGTTAGACAACACAAGTGGCATTCCAAAAGTCAAATACTGTGACTTTGGTCAAGCAAGATATGGGCATGGGGTAACAATCTCGGGGAGAATCACTGACAAGCGGTACCTTTACCTGGCCCCCGAGGTTCGTAATGGTGGCGTGTCTTGCATGAAGTCAGATGTTTATAGTGTAGGGTTTCTGTTCATGGTACTCTCAGACTTTGGAGGATTTGATGCGCTTGTACCAGCAGTGAAACGCTGTATGGTGGAAGACATTAGTCTCAGGATCAACGCTGAGGACTTGGCTGTCATGGCCGACAAGATCTTCAACGATCACCTTGAAATATATGTGTTGTCTGATGGTAGGATACAGACTAATCTTGAGAGGACTGCTTTCGACAAGGGAGACAGGACAGCTGAATGTCCAAGTAACAAGATGGGAATTGCTCTTGATGAAAATGAAAATGTCCTGCGTGCCGGCATGGTATGTAGATCCAGGACACCGTCTCCACGGGGCTCTTTGAATTCACAAGCAAACCTCAAGCATAACTCAGATGTATCGAGTGAAAGCAAAACGGCCGCCTCGTGTATGGACATATGTTCAGTGTCCATCTCAGTGTATGAAGTACACACAAGTCGCTCCCTGTCTTCCGTCAGTAGTGATGACTCACCTACTCCATCCGAACATGGTGTCCGGATATCTTCATGCCGTGTACAAAGATGCTCAGCTCCCTGTCTGTTTACCCAGTACGATGCAGATGATGAACTATCTAGTGATGAAAGACAATGCCAGATTATAACGTCCAAGAGGCCCACTAAACTCCATGCAGATTATGAGCTATCTAGTGACAGTTATTTGACCACTGTACGCAGAGGGCGCTGCAGCGTCTCACCTTGTCACGTGTCGCTTGTCAGTCTGGAGCCGGGCATGAACAGCTCCACTTCTGACGTGATGTCCACTACAAGCTACCACTCGGGTTTATCAGCATGTCTATCTGTGTTTAAGGACTCTGAAGAGGAGGAAGTATTTCACGATCCTCTACAGTTTGAAAACTTTGAATCAATGGCCCTTATCATTCTAATTATTGTATGTATCGCCGTGTTGTTAAAATTGTTTATATTAATCTGCATGTAAATATTAATTTCTGTTAATTGTCAAAATCGAGTTACTGTTCTTCTGTTACTTTTATTATTATAAAATACACATATGTTATAATTTTCAACATAACTGTGTCCAGTATAGGGTAAAACATTATTTAACTATTTCATTATGTAAAATGGTCTTAATGGAAATTAAATTCTGGAATGTTTTCAGTGTCACTGCATCTATTATGGAAAAGTTGTGTATATTGTTCCAAGCAGATCCGTGCATTGTTGACACCGTTGGCAGACACCCCATTGTGTTTAATGGGGCACTGATCTATGGTTTTAACCCTACTGTCTAATATTCCTGCCAAGAAATGGCTTCAGTGAAAGAAAGACTGGTGGAAGCATTGTTGTTTCGCAATATCCTTGGTTAAAGTCAGATATAAAACTAAGTATCCCGTCAGTGCAAGTATTTTCAAATTTCTGATTGGTGGATGATAAGATGTCTGAGATTATGACCCCATTTCTATGGCTTCTTTTTAGCTTGATATTTAATCATGTCACGTCAACTGACCAATAATATTAAAAAAAACACCATTTGATATACACTATGCGCCAAAAGAAACGTTACCCTCCTACCTTTATGAATTACTTAAAAACTATCAAAGATATGTTAGAAGGTATTAGTTTACAAGAAAGCTTAACAACACAGCTTTATGCGAATCACGAAAAGAAATTCTCAAATGCATTCATATTGAGGTGAAATGCATCTTTTTCAGAAGAGTTAAATTGTCCTATTTTCGTCCATGCCGAAATAAACCAATAACAGTGATTTAGATGTCCAAAAGAAAGGTTCTGCTTTGAGACAATGATAAACCATTTAAAGTCACCATTTTTCAACTATTAAAACAAGAAACAACGGTTGTAGAGTGTGTATAGTTGTAAAATAATCATTCCTATGATTTCAGTCTTTTAAAACATTTTCTGCTGATTTACATTAGTAAAAACAAGTAAATATGTCTTTGATATTGTGAAAACATGTTTAGGAACATGTAAAATTATCTTTGTTAACATTTTTGCTTGCAAAGTAAATTTTTTCCATTATCTGTTTACACATAGCATTCTGTATAAACCGACGTATAATCTTACGTATTTTGTAAGCGGATCATCCGTAGAGTGGTAGAAAATGTTCGTAAAGCTGATTTCGGCGTCCATTTAGTATACACGGTAATTTATACTTTTGCATGTAAAACAATGGCCAACAGAACTAAAAACTTCAGTTTAAATAGTAATCTGCCATGTCTGGTGATAATGTATCCATGTCCACATTTAACTGACCACGTTTGTTACTACCTGTTCGTGTACCTGAATTCTATGGAGGGATATAATGAAGTTTTTATTGTGCATAATATGTCCGAGGTGCGGTGGGGTAGATTGAGGACCCGTTCCTGTTCTCGACATGGAGGCAATCTGTGAAGCCTATTTCTAATGTCCTCGTCCATCCTGATTCTGGAACAGTTGAGCAACACACAATCTCTCGTCTTCCATAGTCACTGAAGCATACGTAAAATATATTCATGTATGTGTCTGTATGAAAAGAAAATGTCTCCCTTTTCAGTATCATTCTTGTCGAAGACAATTCTTAAATTTTAGATGTTTTTCATGAAAATATCCTCCAAGGATATTACACATTTCACGTTAAACTAAATGATACAAACTAAATTCTTTGATTAGAATTAGAATTAGAATTCAAAGATCTTTTAATCCTACCGTCCCAAAATACCATCACCCAAGACTGTTGGAACTGAACATCTCTGGGGAGTGAAATCCAGAAGTGCTTCGTTCCGCTCATTATATCACTTTTTATCGGGACATTTAACAAAGATATCTATGGTAACACGACAATAACATCGGCGTCCTTTAAAGTTCTCTTGATAAGCTTTGACCTTATCTATATTTGATAGTCAACTGATATCGTATTCTACCTACGTTAGGAATCTTCTAAGATAAACTGAAGTTTTAACACAGTAATGGGACTGTTAAACAGAAATAACATTTTTAAGGAATAAATCAGTTTCATCCATTATGATAGTCAAAGACAAAATCTATTAAACGTGCTCTGGACGGGCACTCTATTTTCCAAATATGCGGAGTTGCCTCCCTTGGATTGCATTCGAGTGAGTGCCATTACCCTGCCGACACTGTCCAACGTGTCGTTGTGTTATGGTGCAAGGATGCTGCTAGACAGGGACGTAGCTACCATTATTAAAAAAAGCCCAGGCTTACACATGATTGTTGCTAAAGAGGTTAGGCAAACCCTCAATACTATCTAACTATAAAGCTTTGCAACCAATCGGGCTTACACGGCAAAATTGGCTTGTTACGCGCCTGCTAGACGCACTCTCAGTCTTTGAAAATATGTCATTTTCATGGAAGCAGGAATCTCATGGGCCTGAGTCGTTCATTTAGGGCTTCACGTTAAAAAGAGCACAAATAAAAATGTTGAAACACTGTGAGACAGATTATAGCTTTGTATAGACAATGATATTTCATCCAGTGTTAGCGTAATGGTTAAAGCGTCCGCTCGTCACACCGAACACCCGGGTTCGATTCCCCACATGGGTTCAATGTGTGAAGCCATTTTCTGGTGTCCTCCGCCGTGATATTGCTTAAATATTGCTAACAGCGGTGTAAAACCATTCTCACTGACTCCTCCAATGTTGCTACCCGTGAAAGTTCGGGTTAGAATATTGATCTTAAGTAACCCATGCTTGTCGTAAGAGGCGACTAACGGGATCGGGTGGTCAGGCTCACTGACTTGGTTGACACATGTCATCGGTTCCTGATTGCGCAGATCAATGCTCATGCTGCTGACCACTGGATTGTCTGGTCCAGACTCGGTTATTAACAGACCGCCGCCATATAGCTGGAATATTGCTGCGTGCGGCGTAAAACAAAACTCACTCACACCTCCAGTGTTGCAGTGTATTTTCGATTTTTCGTTTTTCCATTTTTGTATAAAGCAGTTTTGGTTCCAGCTTCCAGGGTCTTCACAGTTCAAGCTTGTCAAACCAATTTCAAGAATATTGAAGAGAGTTCCCTCATAATTCAACAATGCAATATTGTTATTTGACAACGCGCCCTTCAGGATTCCATCCATGTGGCTCCGGCCTGTAAACAATCAACAAGACAAACGAGCTCCCATGTCATGGTGTGCGATGTCACGCTGCCATCCAGGGTTACCGTGTACAAAGCGATCATAGCGTTAGGCGATCGTAAAACCCCATTCCTTAACATAGAACCTCAACCGTCGTTGGTCTGTGGCTGTTTCGAACAACGGCGCCCAGGGTCCACACGCTCAAAACGATGTGATGTTAGCTCCACGTCTATCGTAAAGGGCAAACGTTAAAGTATGGGCGATACCAGTGAGTGAGTGAGTATGGTTTTACGCCGCTTTTAGCAATATTCCAACAATATCACGGTGGGGGACACCAGAAATGGGCTTCACACATTGTACCCAGTTCGGCGTGACGAGCGAATGCTTTATCCACTAGGCTATCCCACCACCCCTCTGCGATACGATCGTCGGAACGCTAAACTCGCTTTTATGCATGTGGACCCTGGGCCCTGTTCCAGAAAGAGATCTTAGCGATTCGACGATCGTGAGCCTATGTTAAAGTATTAGAGTTACGATCACCTTACGAACAGGTCCCAGGTTACTAGTTTGAGCACCTTTTCCGAAATGACTCTCGGGACCACCCTAGGTTCTTTTATATCTATGACCCGTGAAGATCTGTAGAATTGGTCTTCAGTAACCCATGCTTGTCGTATGATACGACTAACGGGATCGGGTGGTCAGGCTCGCTGATTTGGTTGACACATGTCATCGCATCCCAATTGCGTAGAGTGATGTTCATGCTATTGATCACTGGATTGTCTGGTTCAGACTCGATTATTTACAGGCCGCCGCCATATACGGTAGCTGGAATATTGCTGAGTGCGGCGTTGCCCGGAATCCCAGGCCTGCGGGTTGAACAAACAAGACCACAATATGATCAACATGAACAAGTTTATTGACAGCACACTGCATGTTGTATCATCCATACATCACTGAAATGTTAGGTATACGCAGTGTGCGAAATTGTTTCCAAATTTTGCTAGCCAGTCGGGCTAGATATGCCTGAAAGTTACTAGCCCACAAAATAATTCACTAGCCCGAAATGTTAATGTAGACACGGGTTTCATCATTAAGCTGCTAATATGATGAACATTTTTTTAAGGACATAATCTTGCATGATTTAAAAGTGTATTATAACATAACACGTCGGAGAGAGTGATGTATTTACAAAATGACCCCATGAAAATTCACTAGCCAGTGACTGTGGAGATTTAGTGGCCCGACTAGATTTTTACTAGCCACGGGCTAGCGGGCATACATACACCACGATATACAAGCACAACACATGCCCTTGGGTATGTCACACATCATTAATAATTGAAAATTGGAATAAATTACATTGTGACGTTGATGCGAGGTAATGAAAGAGTTACTGGTTACACAACTCGCCTTGAAAAGATCTAGTAAATGTAAATAAACTGATACCTTAACACAATGCACAATAAATGTATAGGTTTAGACATTCTATTACATATTTCCGTAATTGGCATCAATCAGTTAAAGGATAATCATTATCTTAACACTGAACGTGTGGTTTTGTATAACCGCACACTGGATAACAATTTAACAGCTGGGTAGAAGACTTACACGTGTCGATCCGACGTGGCTCAAAACGTGGAACACAGACTCCCCGTGCAAGCGTCAGACTCCCCCGCAGTCAATGGAAATAGACTCTTCCGTTGCACGCGGAGCGCCACAATCCGGCACAGCGATGACTTAACATAACATCACTGCCACAGGCTAATTTGTATATCACGTGACCGGACTTTTCTCTTGTTTGTAATCAAACGCGCATATTCATAATAAGAAGAGACTGGACTCACGAAAGCTTTTCGGCGCTCTCTTCATAATGTTTTACATTGTTACATATATATTCTTCAACGACAGTAAGGTCTATGACAGTACATATTTAGATATCAAACTGGCTGCATCGTTTGCTCTCCGTCGGCTTCGATGACAGCACGTGGAACCGTACAACCTATGTAAACAAAGGATCGCTACGCAAATCGAAATAGTGTTACATGTTTTTGGATATTTTCTCAGTGAAACTAAACCATTCTATTAAAGATGTTTAGTTAGATGTGTAGACTCGTCAAAAATAAAAGAGTAAAAGAAATATGTACATTATATTGAATGGACAATGCAAGATGTGACGAATCGTCACATTTTTCTGGCCTGTGGCAGAGGTACTATGCTGGCTTGCCGCATGGAACTCTGGGTAGGAGAGTGGCGGAGCGCCTGCTGTACCCAAACATGACGTCACGCCGATATATTTTTAGATTTAACAGTATTTCGTATTTCGAGAAAGAAGAGGGAGAAAGCCGCCCCCCCCCCTGAAAATGAACCACATTGAAGATTTTTTTTGCGTTTGCGGAGCCAATGAGGGGTTCAGGGTGTTCGAACCCCTGAACACCCCCACCCCTTCGAAACTCCTGGATCCGCCCATGTAATGAGCCTATTTTCATATAATCGAGTACTCAGTGTAGCCACCTTGGGTTTAATCAGTTTTGACTGCATTGCGAGTTTTATGAATTATTGATTATTATGAATAATATATATTCTCTAAACAGTTGTGTGGGTTCGGTTAAGGGCTGATTTTAACATTATTCAAGTCACAATACGACATGTTAGTTGAATGAGAGAGAAAACCCTCGAAGTGATTCAGGTCTCAGGTGTACACCACGAGCACGGGTAGGATGTTGAGAAATATAGAAACAGAATCGTGCAACACCGGGATTCGAATCCACAATCACGGGTTTCCGGCGTGCCAAAGGGACGCAACTCTGCGCAGCGAATTGCCGCGCCCTAGACGACCAGACCACCCGTGTCCTTAAAAGCCACAGACATCAGCCAAACGCTGTGTTGATAAACCGATATAGGGTAAGAAAGATACCGTATAACCAATACAGGGTTTTAAGGAGACGGTTAATAGAATATGTAAGCTTGGAGAATAATCAAAGGTATATAATAGACATATGAGAGTTGGATAAACATCCCGAAGATATAAGAACGTTAGGTTTTAAAGATAAGGAAAGCAATTTGTTAAATATTCATAATACTTTAATCTATAAACTATCACAGTCGTTATTTTGAGGTCGTTAGAAATAGACAATGCTTGAAAATATTTGACTGTACACGGACATAATTGTATCTACCCTAGACACGACAAACGTTACCCACATCCCTAGCAGGCCTGTACAAACGGAGTATACCCATACCTCCAAATTGTCAGAGTAATAAATACTCATACTGCCTAATTATCTTTGTATCCAGATCACCTACGAATTGCAATTACTGAAGCATGGTGTCTCACTGGAGTAGTCTAATTTAACAGAGATCATGATACAGTTTGTAGTATTTAAACGTATGTATACTGATACCTTCATGCGTATGTAGTTTTAAAGCCATTAAACCGTAGGATTGATCTTCGCAAAATTGTTCAAGTATGAAGAAGGATTGTATAATTTCTGTTTTATATACATTGTGTAATTATCACTCTAAACAAGAATTACCCGATGCTCTTGTTCCGTTGGATGTAAAATCATTTACAACTGAACAAATCTAAGTAATACGTAAGTCGCATTTGTTAATACTAAAATCATAACTGCCAGGTCTCCGAATTACAAACAGATGAAACATGTTTACAAAATAGTTCACAATAAGCACATCTGACAGATTTAAAGAAATTACCCTCCTTGAAGCATATTTTCGATATATTCTTGTGATTTCTTTGAAGAAATATTTCCAGATGGAAATGGTCAACAGAAGTTTAACAAATGATGCTTTTAGTGAACATTCGTGTTCGAGAACGTTAAAAAAATGTGAAATATGGAAATAACGACTAACATCCTTCCCTAAAGTTTTCATGAAGTAAACAGACACTGGCAAATTCAATTCCTGTTGCCTGTATCACTCAGTCCTATAGTACACGCCATTTCCAGAGAGCCTCGTTCTGAGACACATATTTCGAACAGCCTCGTTCTGCGACGTTATGGTAAGTAGTTTGCACACGTCTCCACAAAGTTCATTGCACAAATTGATGCATGATGATAGTTAGTTTTCAAGTGAAAATCATAATGTTGTTTACTGCAAATAGAACGGAGCATTACCTTTCTCAATACCAATTGTACAGCTACACTTTGAAACACTTTCATGCTTGTTTTCCAATTTAACATAACACCTGCTGTAAATACACACAGAAATAAATATAGTTACCTGAACATATTGTATGGCCGGAACTAATCAGTCACGAAGGAAGATAAACACCAAAGAAGGTAAAGAATTAAAAATGAAACATAAACAGTTAGGAACAGCGAAATATATACTGAGATATATACACAGTTCATAATGCTGACATTTGGCATGTAAGTGTTCTGAAGCAACAAAGCAGATAGCATTCTACAACAAGTACTCCTCACCGATTTCCCCCAAACTGACAAAGTACATCTACATTATATGTGTCCAAGATGGTCTAGTTTCTTCTACATATCACAGCAAGCAATTGTGAGCCCCGGCTACAACACTAGTAATGGCACTGTTCTCTATCAGATTTCAGGATAATATCTAGTCTATGTTCCCAGCCGCCGTACTAGCTAGTGCGGAATGTCAAAGGTAGACTTTCAAGCAGGAATAGTTCTTTGAAAGTGTTATCAAACACAAACTCCCCTTGGTAGCATCAACTAGCATACAAGGCCCCTTAAAGATGTAATATAGGTTTTGTTTATGTCGTAGTAATCCAAGTCAGTACCATTGCTGGAAACACTGAAAGACTGTCTCTGTTTCAGGAGAGATGATGGTTTTACCGTCCCTCTTTCTTGGAGCCGTTTACTGTCTAGATGTCTGTCGTATGTCCAGAGATCCGTGAAGCTCTTACATTTAAGTCCTCCATAGATCAAATTATCCGTGTAATGCTTTACTGTACAGATCAAGTACACCTTGAATTCTGTACTGTGTATGTGTCCTTCGTGGATCAAGGTCCTTGAACCCTTCCTTCTCGAACGTCACCCTCGAACCTTGTACTGTAGATGTTCGTCATAGGTTATGTAATGCTTGAAGCCACTATTGTGTTGATGTCTTTAATATATCAACTAATTGTTGATTCCCAAACTGAGTAAATATCCTTCATAGTTCAAGTAAACATTGAACCGTATGGTGGATGTCCTTCGTAGATCCATCTAGTGATCCTTGAACTCTTTGTATTTGTGTAGATTTCAGTCGTAGCTCAAGGAATCATTGGAGGTCCGTACTTTTTACGTGAGCAGATAATCTTCCAGTGATTGGTTCGGAGCTATCATCCACAAAACCAAAGTAACTATTACAAGTACAGAGTGATAAAAAATCCCAGTTGTATTATACATACAACGAAGGATTTATTTCGATGACATTTGTTTCCTTAAAATCCAGAATATTAATACCTCACGCCTTGTGATCGCTCAGACTGATCTTCAAGGCTCGACCAACCCTGGAGACCGTAGTCACACTTCTTGGTAAATTCCGATATTTGTTCATGGGCTCTCACTTTCTAACTACTGCCTGATGAATGGCCTCCAGTTTGTTGTCTATCCGTCCCAGTTTTTCCTCCATGGCCTCCACTCTCGTCTTGACATCCTTCTGCTCCGTGTCCATAGTTTCAACTAATTCAAAAACATCATTTACTCCTTTGGAGATTTCTATGACACCAACAGCATTCTCTCCGACCATCAACCTCTCGTTCTTGGCGTTCCTCATGGAATGGATGGCTTTGAGAAGCTTTCCGTAGGCTCGGCGATGTTGGTAGTCCGAGACGTTTCCCTTTCGTTTGAGTCTCCATAACATCAGCAGGTTCTTGATGACGTCAGCTGCAGCGTTCTTCCTCCTCTTATCCAGCTGTATCCTTGTGACGAAGTTGTGGACGTACTTCTCAGCTCTCGTCTGCTCCAGCTTCTGAGCCAGGACAGCTACCAAGAGAGCCGTGGTGCCGACCCCCATCAGACCGGTTGTAACTGCAATAAACCTCCCACAGTCACTGTTCGGGGTTATATCGCCGTATCCAACTGTCAGGAACGTGATGGCGATCACCCACATAGCGTTCCGGAAGTTAGTGTGTTCGTGGTCGGGGTGGTAGTATCCTTCGCAGGTACGTAGCGCCCAGCTGTTGACGACAAATATGATACACATGATAGCAATTAACATCGTGCCTGGCTTCTCCGACATTAGAGCTTTGAATACAAACACCGTGTTGATCTTGACTTTGTTAAGCGCACCGAGACTTTGAGTAGACGTGTCTGTGAGAAGACGACTGTGGACCACCAACAGCTTGGCTACAAGATACAACCTCATCAGCATCAGTATTGACAGCACGGCGTCTATAGATACCTCTGTTGCATTGCCCTTCGTGTCGAAATAACCCAGGACTATTCGACCAGGGAATGGATGGATAGCGCAGACAGCGAGTTCAACGAATATCCTCACGTATGTAAGACGTGTCACAGCAAGCCTCCAGTCGTCCAGGCCATTGTCAGTCTGGTTTATTTGGATGCCAGTGACATGGTAGGCAACTACCGCGAAAAGGAGGAAGAGAGTGCTGATTGAGATGCCAGATTTAATGACGAGAGAAGCAACGGACCTCTTACTGTAGACTTTGTTCAGGAACAACTCGGTTTCCACGAACATCAAGATTATTCCAACCATGGCGAGCGTGAACTCCAGATTTACAATCATCCGACGTCTATTCAGAAGTTTTTTCCTCCGACTTAGCTTGTAGCTGATGTTGTCGAATCTCGTTACAGCTGGGGACAGGGGACCATTGCTTGACTGACTCATACTGTCTTCGTCTACGTATTTGGCGAACTTGCCTTTCCGTCGTCCGACCAGAGGAATTCCCGGATCCTCAACCAGTGTGTTCCCCGCCATATTCCTCTGCAACACAAGGAAAGAAGAGTTATTTCCCCTGGAAAGCATTTCAAATGGATGAAGCAAAATGATGACGTTGATAGTATATGTCGTTGCTGGTCTCCCACAATAAAGCAACGCGCCTTTATCTGTAATATAATATATGTCAAAACGGAAATAGATCCGCACTCTCGTTCACATACTGAATTAATTGCATAAATTTGATTTAAGCCATTAAGTTCTAAATTTTATGATGGTTGCCTGCCACAAAGCTACGGATTCCTGAGCAGATGGCATGGATAATGGTGTGATCGTCGAGCCACTGGTTGGCCTTAACGAAACGCTATTCTCAATATTTAGCAGGTATTGTGACCTCCACATGCCCGCTTAATCCGCTTCTGGTGACAAGCATAGGTAGAAGACATATTGTTACCATTGAAAACTTCAAATGATTAGGAAGCACAGGAGATCCAGGTTTCTTAAAAGAACCCTGTCAGAAATATCAGTCAACACATTGCCAGACCCGTTGATGCTTGTTAGCAATGTCCATGTTTGACATACACTTACCATGGTGACCCTTCAATAACAATGCTGAGTTGAGTGTACGTGCTGGTTAGAAAATACACTCTAATAAACTGACAATAGTTCAACCAATATGTACACGAACCGTTACAGAGAAGTCAAATGAATTTGAAAGAAATGTGTGATAAATACAAGGAATTGTTTAAGTACAGTAGAAAGTTCATTAACAACGCTTTTCAACGATCCCTGCCACCACTGAATGGACTATCGACGTTTCTGGGTCTGCTTTGTGGGATTCCCATGTGTTCGAACCAGCTTCTTCGTTATGACTTTATATTCTTAAACACAGACCTGGTAGCATTCAGTACAGTTTCAAATAAGGGATGTAATTTGACGGTCAGATCGATATAGTGAGATGTATTCAGCATATATTGATGTTCACATGCATCTTGTGTAAATAACATCATGCTAATATGGCGGACAACATTGATTCCAGCTGTTTAAACGTGAACACGACTCAGGGTAAAAGGTTAGGCTGTTCGACCCCATCAGTGCAATAGGTGGACTTTCAAATGCGACCATCACGGATGAGGACAACGGCAGTATTATACTGATAACACATGCACCAGTGTAATTGTATGTGTTGAGCTGGTAGCAATCAATCGTACTATCGGAATACTCACTTACATGATAATATTGTCATGTCGTTTATCGATACATACTATCGTGTATCGATTTATTGATATCGATGAAAGAATTGAAAGTAGTATCTATAGACGCTATGTCCTGAAATTTGATTAATTTGACCTAGTTTGTTTATGATGAATGTCTATTTGTGCTGTTTAATGGTGAACTGGCTTGTCTGTCAGGTAATACTGATACGGTATAAACAAACAAGATGGTATATCATATAACAGGAACACCTTAAGATGATATGTACTGTAACATATCATCTGAGAAGTCACGTGTAGCCCCGTCGTGCAAGGTGCTGAAGTCGCTGTGTAGAGTTACGTCCCTTAGGCGTGCCAGAAACCTATAATCGTGGGTTCGAATCCATGTTTGCCCTGATACGCGGGATTCACCAAACTGGTAAATGTCAGACACTTGCATCACTTCGGACTGTCCACCCAAATCAAGCTGACACAATGTGACGGACTCACTCACTCACGGACTCACGGACTCACTCACTCACGTCTGACCAAAACACATTTGTCTGATATCGTGTTCAGGACACGAATGTGTTATATCAGATAGACAACGTTTGTTTGACATGATGTAGCTATATATGTATAATATAACTCTGTGACAGCCTACATTTGTACAATTCCGTCATTGTGATTTGACATTTTTTCAATTTTGTTCTGGCAAATGATAGACAGTTTATTATCGGAAATCCCATAGTGCGAAAGGCGCATGCAGGAACTTTTTTCGCTTTTCATTCTGGTCTTTCACTTGATCGCCTATCAGCTCATTGAAGCTTTAGGGTTTGGGCACAAATTAACGCTCCTGTTCGATGCTATATTCTTGACAACAACATCAACCAATCTCGTGACATCACGAAACCTCTGTCGGTATTTCCCGTATGGGGCAAAGGTGCAATTTTCGCCAAACCATCTCTAAGGCTTGTGATTAGGGGATTGTACTGGGGAACTTGATAAATACTGTCTGCACTCTAAAACTTGGTACGATTGTTCCTTGACAATAGGTTTTGCGTTGTTCTATGGGGTGAAGCATAATTAATATTTCTGCTCTTACGAACTCACACAAACACACGAATCTCTGAAAATTGTGCTTCCTCGAAGTGGCTTACACGGCATTACCACTGAAAAGAACAACTTTTTGCATGAAAGCTTCATCGGGGCCGGATTATACGATTTACGTGACCCTATCGAGGATTTATAACTGCTCCATTTCTCATTGTAATAGGACAACGAAAGTCTACGAGATCTGAACGATGCTCCCTTTCAGGTACTGCGAGTGTTCTGTGGACAAATCGATCATTGCGTTCTTGCCACAGTCCCGTTAACCCTCTTGGGATCATGTTTAATTAAAACATTCCCGATTCGCAGAGTTAAAAAACCTAGAAACAAACAAGACATCACTTTGGTTTGATTACAAAAACAGCATCATGGCGACGTAATGTTTAGTTGTACAAAAGACTATGTCGATCTCAGGGACCATATCAAAACTCTTAATAGCCAATTTTTTGACAACTCTGAAGGATACACGATGAGACGCCCCTGAAATATAGTGCGAACGATAAACGTATAGGTGCAGGGACTCACCCCCAGTCTGTTGTAGTTTTTGGATTCAATGAAGATTGCAATGTATGTAATTCAAAAAGTTTTGCAATGTCTGTATTCCCAATGTTTGTAATGATATTACAAAATATTTGCGACCTTTGTCGTTTAAGAATACAAAAACATTACTTTTTTTAAGCTGGCTGACACTTCCATACATGTACTCGGAAAAAAAGATTATTTAAATTTAATTAAGTAAATTAAATATATCTAAAGTGAATAAGTGAGTAGTATTAAGTCTCGATAGCAATATTGAAGCCGAAACATGGGACCATGCTGGGTAGTGGGGATGGCCTATATCCCTACAGCCGTTAGACATCCTCTTGTCCAGGCATAGAGTGGCTGGCCACTGTCAGGCAAAGTACGGGAATCAACAGCTGAGGAATACAGTTATTGCTGGACAGCAAGGTTTGGTCTATAAATGCAAACACCTACGCATCCGAACTAAGCACAGGAAACAGGCATTAGTGCAGTTAACCCATATAGTGAAGTTCACAAGTCATGGTTTATCGATAGCAGTATGGATGTAGGTTTAAAGATTTGTGGCCATTTTATCGAGGTATATTTGTTCCGCTTTACAAGACTACCGATTTCTGGCTGCCACGCATGTTCTTTTACATAGAAACACCGCTATGTGGGACCTACGGCTGCCTCCAGGTAGAAGGCCCCCCATGCGTATTCACTGATTAGTCAGCATTTCGCGGTTGTGTCGAACCTTTGATAACACGAAGTATTGACATACGTCTCTGCCACTTCGACACAACGATGTTTGAATGTAAACAGTTGCTAAAACAGTTGTTAGGTGAGGTGAGGTGAGATGAAATTGGGTTTAACGTCGTACTTGAGAATATTTCGCTCATATGACGACGTGCATGCGTGTGTATGTGTATGTGCGGCTGCTTGTACTAGCTCAGCAGTAGTTAGGATAGGCCTATGACCAGCATACATTTGACATAACGATACGCATGCGCATACCTAATTCCTACGTGTGTATTTAACAGGATAATGTATCCACTTCCATCACCAATTCCCTATTGGACTCCTGTCCACGAAAGCAATGGTTGTCCTACAATACAGACACACTGTTGAGCAAAGTTATCTTTCAATTAAGTAGTAAATCTAAACATACCTGACTTATTACAATGGATTTCTTCTAAACATTGTTAGCTGAAGATGTAGTATTTAGGTGGATACTAAGCCCTTCGTATAATGCAAAAGCCCTAGATCTGCCTGAGGTTCTAAATCTCCCCATGGGCTCCTATTCAGACTGAGTAGAGCTATGTACTTCTGTCTATCGTCACTGAACATATATATATATATATATAATATATAATGTCCATTTATATGGCGCCAAACTCCACTGGGGCGTGCTCATAGCGCATACAAGAGTGAAGGAAAAGAAGTAAAAACTAGTAGCAGTACAAGGTCACTTTAAAAGTACAAATGGAACAGATGAGTCTTTAGGAGACACTTAAATTGTTCCAACGACTGGGCATCTTTGAGAAAATCTGGCAGTGAGTTCCATTTAGTGGCAGCTGCAACACTAAAGGACTTGTAACCAAAGGACATTTTCTTCCATGATGGCACTATGAGTCTCTGTCTCTGTATGAACAAAGACATATATAAACCGGATTCGTCTGAATGATGAGATGGACTGTTTACGTTCAGCCTCAGAAAAGTCCAGTCTCTGAACCTGCGAGAGCCTTATTGCCTTAATCCGGGTTAGAATAGGTCTTCAGCAACCCATGCTTGCCACAAAAGGCGACTATGCTCGTCGTAAGAGGCGACTAACGGGATCGGGTGGTCAGGCTCGCTGACTTGGTTGACACATGTCATCGGTTCCCAATTGTGCAGATCGATGCTCATGCTGTTGATCACTGGATCTTTTGGTCCAGACTCAATTATTTACATGCCACCGCCATATAGCTGGAACTATGCGGAGTGCGGCCTTAAACAACTAACCAACCATCCATTTACAGAACTTAGTCTCTCATAACTCCTCACAGGAGTGGCTCAACTTTTTATTTCTTATTTGTACTGTATCTCTTTGATATTGAGGCGAGACTTTAATAAACAATCTGTCTGTCTGTCTGTCAATACGGCGGAGGTGTTTGCTCATTGCGGTAGTTGAACAACAAACAAACATACTGATATATAGCTGCAATCCTACCACAGTACGGGCAGTATGAGATTTGATAGGGTATC